ACTCCCTTTTGTTGCAGCATCTAATAGTTCTCTGACTGATGCACTGTAGAATGAAGGTCAACCTCTTCAGTGTGGCTTTTCACAGTGTGTGGAAACTGGTCCATGCTCTCTTCTCTATTTGCTCTAGATGTACTGGGGAACGCTAGTGAATGATGGCATGAGTCTCTTTTAGGCTTCAGGTCATTTTCTGCTCCCCATCATGTTGTAAGTTCCAAGAGGAAAGGCACTGTTCCTGTCTGGCTCAAGACTAGTCCTTAACACAGAACAGAGTATGTGGAGAGCAATTGCTGAAAACAGTTGACTTCAGAGGTAGGTCCTAATGTTGAACTATCTTTCGTGTCTCATGCTTCAGGAGCTCCTAGAAATTCACTTTAAAATTGCACTAATAATATTGCTGGGCTAGTAAGGTAGCTCAGCCAGACAGGTCCACACTGCCAGACTTAATGATGTGACTCCAATGGCCTGGGACCAACACAGGTCCCAGGAAAAAGGGGGCCAATGGCTGCAAGTTGTCTATTGACCACCACACATAAGAGTGTCCGTGTGCACATACACACAATCACACACAGTAAGTAAATAAGTAAGTATAATAAAAACTTTAAATAAAAATAATATCTATATATGATCTTTTTTCTCTCCAGGAAACTCACAGACAGAATTACAGCCCATTTTCATAGTGCTTCTGGATGCGACTTTGATCTAGTTGTAGGTAATGAGTCTGTCAGCCTCTCTCTGACTTTATTCTCTTACAAGCTTCTTAGATGCATGTTCTCTACAGAGCAGCATGTAAGAACTTTAAAGATCTGTTCTTAATGACAGGGCTAGCCTATAATTTCTCATGCTTTTACCAATCAAGGAATAGCTACATTTTCACCCCTTATGTTTTATCTTTTGCTTGTAACACTGTACCCTCCATGATAACACTTAGCACTAAACCTCTCAGTCAGACTGAAGCCTCATTATTTACGTCAGTCACCCTGAAGGATGGCAAATGCTTCAGTGGCCGTATGGTTTAGTTCCCCCACATCATGCAGTAGGCTACAGGTTACAGAGGGAAAAGGACCCGCCCAGGACCCCTGCCACCAGGTGCTGTGAGACCTGGGCCTCCAGTTATGGTGGACTTGAGACTAAACCACAGTTTCTATTTTGGTTTTGTTTGCTTTTGTTTTGTTTTATTTTGTTTGCAGTCCTGGCCAGCTTTACACTCTGAGATCTGCCTGGCTTTGCCTCTGAGTTCTGGGATTCTAAGATCGAACTACCGTGCCAGGCTGAGTCAAAGTTTTCACAGCAGCCCAGACTGCCTTTTTGTTACTTTATACAGTTAGACGAATAAAGGATTCCCAAGTTGCACGGCATCTCCCTGCCACCTACAGATGTCACTGTGCTTAGCGCAAAGGACAGTCTGCAAATGTGATTGAGCCGGGTGCCTTGAGAGGGAGAGATACCTGTTCCGCAGGTAACAGATGGGCAGGACTCGGGATCACTGGTGTGTTACAAGGGGCTGGCAAATGACTGGGGGATGTAGTGCAGTTGTTAGGATGCTTGCGTCTGGCCTTCAGGAAGGATTGTTTCCACTGATCCCAGCACTGGGGAGGTGCAGGCACAAGCAACAGGAGTTCAAGGTCATCCTTGGCTACATAATGAGTTTGAGGCTACCCTGGGATACTTGGTGCCCTTAAAAAAAGAGGCAGCAACCTAGAGAGAGGAAGAGGGAAATTTGATTACAGAAGAGAATGGAATGAGCAAAGGAGAGACTGAAGTGATGTGACCACAAACCAAGGAGTATCTGCAGCCTTAGAATCCAGAAATAGCAAGAGATAGACCCCCCCTTTTTTTGTACTTGCAGAGGTAGTACAACTTCTGACTTTTACCTACAGAGTGACTGTAGACCTCTGTCCTGAAGAGAATGAAGAGATGGGCTCTGGGAGGGGGGCAATAACTGTGCTTCTGCAAAACTCTCATCATCAACAAGGGCTGACAAAGTGGCCCCTGACTATAACTGACCTATTGCCTGTTTGTTTTTTTAAATAAAGATTTATTGGAACACAGCCATGCCCTCTCTTATACGCAACACTGGTAGGCTGAGTAATGGCAATGAGTCATTGCCACAGAGACCATATGGCCTGCAAAGCTGAAACTATTTACAACCCTGGCCCTTAACAGAGAGAATATGCTGAGCCCTCTCCAAGATGAGAATTAATTCCACCCTTTCTCACATTTGCTCATGACATTTCAGACTAAAAATAATGCATGTTCATCATATAAAATTAAAGTACTTCAGAATTCCACCACCTACAAAGCAGATATCCCTGTAACCATCATTTAAAAAGCTTGGGGTATATGCCCCAATTTTTTCTTTTCCTCTGCACATATGATAGCATTTACTATTGCTGTTTTTGTTAATCTATGGTTGTTTAAGAATGTTGGTATTTGCTGGTTGGCGGTGGTGCATGCCTTTAATCCCAGCACCCTGGAGGCAGACACAGTAGGATCTCTGAGTTTGAGGCCAGCCTGATCTTTAGAGAGAGTTCCAGGACAGCCAGGACCACACAGAGAAATTCTGTCTCAGAAAAAAAAAAAAAGAAAAGAAAAGAAAAGAAAGAAACCAAAACCCAAAATGTTGCTATTCACAAATTGCATGGCACTGGTGAGATGTTCCAGTGGGCAAAATGCTTGCTTCACAAGCATGGCAAATTGAGTTCAGATCCCTAGGACCCTTGCAAAAAGCCGGATGTGGTGGCATACACCTGTGACCCCAGAGCTGGGGATGTGGAAACAGATGGATCCGGAGAGTTACTGACCAGACAATCCAACCAAAATGGAGAGTTCCAAGTGCAGTAGCAGACCCTGTCTCAAAGAATAAGGCAGATAGTGATTGAAGAAGACACCAAAGTGACCCACTCACACATGTGTATAAGCCTACACACACACGAAGAATATAGGCATTGATGAATTACAGAGGACTCAGTATTTCACAAGGAAATACAGCCGGGGATGGTTTGGAGAGTAAAGAAGATAACTTGAAGCCAACAGATGCCACAGTACTAAGCAATCCTGAGTCCAGTAGGATCAGGGAGCACACAGGCTAATTGGCTTCACCTCAAGCTTTGGTGTCCTTTGGACCAGATGCCCCTTTCCTGAGTGTCGTAGGCAACAGTTTTCAGACCTGTCATCTGTAGTGCTCAAGCATCTGTAGCCAGGGTGAATAAAAATGGCTCCTGGCACTCAAAACCAGCAATGCAACCAGAAGGCAACTTAAAATATATAAAAATAATGGCTTTTAAAAATCAATACACAATTTTTTAAAGTTCCCCCCCCAAAAAATAGGTAAAGCATGGTGGCTACAGATAATTTAAATATTGCTGAAACCGTAAATTAAAAATTAAAATTACATTTTAATCTGGTCACCCTGAGTCACTGTGTTTGCTGCTTTGGTATACACTTCCAGCCTGTCTCTTTGTATATGTGCCTTTACCTATTTATACCGAAAAGTGGAAGCCTGCACATCTTGCTCTTTTAATCAAATCTCCATTTTTCCTGGGCTTGAGAGGGGCCTCAGGGGTAAGGAACACTTGCTGCTCTTGAAAGATCTGGGTTCCATTCCCAGATCCCACACAGCAGCTCATAGTCATCTGTCAGTCCAGTCACTGGCAATCCAGCACCCTTTTCTGGCCTCTGTGAGCACCAAACACATATGGCTTACATGCATACATTCATGCATGCATACATATATGCATGCATACACACATATATGCATACATACATACATGCACAGGCCTATGGCATACATACAGACATACACATAAAGGGGATAAAGATAAACCTTAATATATATATATATTTTTTTTTTAAAGATGGAAAGTGAGAACTCAAACCCTGAACTTGTACTGTGACCTCTACAAAAGTGCTTTGGCATGGGCCTCGCGCTCATAATAATAAATAAACACATTTTAAAAATTGCTTCCCGTGCCATCAAGGAACTTATAATTTTGAAAAAAAATAATGAGTATATTTGTACCTTATGTTACAAGGCAAGCTAAAAAGAGCATAACTTAAGAAAGAAAAAAAACCTTACAATATGTTAAAAAATGTGTCTGGTGCAGGGGTCCTCCCTTCTTTGAATCTCCTTGCCAGCATGTACCAATGTTCCTCTCCTTTCCAGGGTAAAAGCTGGCAAAGAGATATTCTTTACAGAGAGACAGGAACCTTCCTCCAGAGGGGACATGTAGAAAAGGTCTCAGAGGCCCCTTTAAGAGACAGGAAATGAGAGACTGTCTTATCTTGTCTCACCTGGGATAATCGATGCTATATTGGCATCAGGAATTGAAAGCAAATTCTAGAAAAATCTCTCCCAAGTTTCCACGAGGTGATCCAATTAAGATATGACTGGCAGCCATGAAAAGCTTTGGTGCTGCCAAACCACAGAGAAATCCTAGACGCCGAAACACAAGAAATATCTTGCTGGATAACCAAATATTTTTTAAAAGGGCTGTATAGTATAGGCTAAAACTTTCAAGACATGGTTGACTATTTTTCTTGCCCTGAAGCCAAAGATAACCTTAAACAAGGGAAACACTCGCTATCCCACGAAAGCCAGACAAGCAAACAGAAATTTGCAATGAATCTTTCTTAGCCCTCACAAAAGCCAAGCTGAAAATCCATCTTCAGCACGTTGAAATGAAATCTCTTAGGTCAACTAACAAGGCCCGCCCAGCAGGGGTGCTGACTGCTGACCAGACCAGCCTCCAGCTCCCGCAACCTGGGCCTCCGTCTGCCTTTGTAAAGCACTTTGTGAAAGGGACCTCAGATGTTCAGTGTCTCTAAAAGCTGCCAGCTTCTAGAAGAATCAGCCCCCACAGGAACAAGGACTGGCCCATCCGCCGAGCCAGCATGAGGGGTCCCTTGAGTGAATTACTCTACACTGCAGGTCACAGCACCACGGAGGCCAGACCAGTGGGAGTCATGAAGTTCTAGCCCACAAGCTTCTTTTTAATTTTTACCTTATTTGTTTTTGAGGCAGGGTATCATGTAGCTCAGGCTGTCCTTGAACTCATTCTGTAGCTGAGGATGACCTCGAATATCAAATCTTCCTGCTAGGATCACAGGCATATGCTATCATGATCAGGTTATACACTGCTGGGAAATCAAACACAAGACCTTGTGCTTGCTAGGCCTACATCTTCAGCAATCCCCCGTCAAAGGCATTTTATTTAAAGCAAAGACTCCTACCTTAAATGAACCCATTAAAAAGTCAGTCTTCTTCAGGGCTAGGGAGATGGTTCGGTGTTTAAAAGCCACTGGCAGCTCTTCCAGAGGACCTAGGTTCAATCTGAAGCACCCATATGGCATTATTAATTTAATTATAGAGGTCCTTTACCTAGGACTAATGTAAGACCTGTATCAGAAATAAGTGCTGTGAATATTTTCTCCCAGTGTATAGCTCACATTTTTATTTCTCTAGATTTTTTTAAAGGCAAAACACTGAAATTTTGATAGTTTCTAATTTACATACACTATTTAATGATTTATTCTTTCTGTACCCTTTCCAACAAATTCCTGCCTTCCCAAAGCTCATGGACACATTCCCCAGGGGTTCTTCTGGTAGGTTTTATTATTATACACCTCTCACTGATTGGACTTTTAGTTGAATTTTATGTACAGCATGAAGTAGTGTTGAAATTTTATACTCACACACGGATTATGAATGTGTGACCGGCCCATTGGTTCTGTACCATTCACGGAGAGATTTCCCTCTCCCTACTACATTGCTTTGATGCTCTTTATACACACTTACCTCACTGTACATAGGTGGATTCAGATCCAGACATTCCATTCTGCTCTGTGAACCCACATGACCTCATACCAATGCCACACTGGCCTTTACAGTACTAAGCCTGATGAGTTTGTTCTTTTTCAGCATTAATTTAGGATTCTTCAGCTTTCCCAAATAAGCTTTAAAAACTTCCTTATCTGTTTTCGTGTGAAAGCCTTCACACACTAGACAAAATAGGGCAAGTTTTGCCATGAGAAGCATGATAGAAACTTTGGGGTGATTACCCTGGTGAGGTCGTAAACGACCCAACAAGGAGGAGGTACCAGAACAGAGACATCCGCAGCCTGGCTTGTGTCCTCCCACGTTAATAACTTGAAATCCTAAGGCCAGGGTGATGGTGTTTGGAGACAGAACCTTGGGAAGTAGCTGCATGAAGTCCTGAGGGTGGCAACTCTAAGTCTAAGGGAGAGACATCAGGGCCAGGCACAGTGACACTCACCTGTAATCCCAGCACTTGAGGGGGTAGCAACGGGTTAGGGTTAGGGATAGAGTTAGGGTTAGGGCTAGGGCTAGGGCTAGGGCTAGGGCTAGGGTTAGGGTTAGGGTTAGGGTTAGGGTTAGGGTTAGGCTAGGGCTAGGGCTAGGGCTAGGGCTAGGGCTAGGGCTAGGGTTAGGGCTAGGGTTAGGGTTAGGGGGTTAGGGTTAGGGGGTTAGGGTTAGGGGGTTAGGGTTAGGGGGTTAGGGGTTAGGGTTAGGGGGTTAGGGTTAGGGGTTAGGGGGTTAGGGTTAGGGGGTTAGGGTTAGGGGGTTAGGGTTATGGGGTTAGGGTTAGGGGGTTAGGGTTAGGGGTTAGGGGTTAGGGGCTAGGGGCTAGGGTTAGGGTTAGGGTTAGGGTTAGGGTTAGGGTTAGGGTTAGGGTTAGGGTTCAAGGTCATCTTCAACTACTTAGCAAGTTTGAAGGCATCTGGGCTACTTGAACCCAGTCTCTAAAATAGAATGCAATTAAAGTTTTAAAAAAGGGGGGATGATATCAGCAAAGTTGTGTCTCTCTTTCTTCCCCTCTTCCTGTGCTTTTCTACCACATGAAGAAGCAGCAAGCAGTCATCAGAAAGCCAAGGAAGCAGCCCTCACCTGCGAGCACAATCAACCACTTGACCTTGAACTTGCCAGCCTCCTTCAGAACCATGAAAAATAGTTCCTGTTGTTTAAGCCCTATGCTTAGTCCCATCTGCGGTGCCAGCTTATGGCAGAACTCAGGCATGAAAAGGAAATTATCGTGGACCTTAAAGCTGACAATTTAATTTGATTCAGGGACCGTTAGAACTCACCGGTGGCAGATTAATCACGAACATCTATCTCCATTCCTTCACAAAATCCCACCCTCCCCACCAAAAAATGGCAGCAAAGGAAAAGGATTAAAGTCATAAAGCCTCACAAGTTGGAAGTGGGGATTCATCCATCACCTCCTTGAAGGTGGAGGCCAGGTGGATATGATGACCACCTTATACCTAACAGAGAAAGTCAAAGCAGAGAGAAGCTAGCTGGGCCCGGAAAGATAAAACATACAAGCAACAGCTCCCATAGACATGTGGGGCTGACAGGAGCCCCTTCCAGGAGCTGGATCCCCTTCCCCACAACCACAGGGGAACAGCCTCATCAAATAGAAATAGAGTGTCAGTCGTGGGAATAAGAATAACAATAAATTCCCCATGACCTAGTACAGTGTCCTCAAGGGGCTGATCCAGGAATCCCCCATAATATTCCCATAATGTATAAGGCCCTCATATAAAATATTTTGTATCCTGAAGACCTCAAGTCATTGTTATTCACCTAAATAACACAATGCTAAATACTTAAATACTGTTACTACTGTAACACTGCGAATGATTGAACCACTGATACAGAACCTGTGGCTATGCAGAGCTGACTGTAGATTCAACATATTATCTTTTTAACAGGCAGACTCTACTTTTAAATTATTAGTAAAAATCTCCTACCAAACAAAACAAAGAAAATTCGAAGATGAAACAAAAACCACAAGTTTAAATAAAAACCTGGATCCTGAAAAATGCACACTGTAATGTCCTCTACCCCATGCCTGGACACAGAAGGGGTTCACTTGTCTCTCCTAATTTCAGTATGGACACATCCTCTCAAGGACCCAAATGGAAGCTTCAGAAATCGACAGCTCCAAACGAGCTGTGAAGGATACTCCACCCACTATACAACTCCAAGATGATCTAATGACCAAGAAGATGTTTTGGGAGCTAAGGGTATCGCGGCTAAGTATAAAGCTCATGGGAGGGTCTGATAATAAACAGGAAGTAATCTTTTGGCAAGAGAAAGGATTCAAAGGGCAGCTGGGTTAGAAAATCAGGATTGATCGACAGAGCTGGAGTCAAAAGATGTCTCAATAAGATCAGGAAAGACAATGGCCTGAAGTTCACAAGGAAATGCATGAGATTAATTTTCCATTACCAGATACATGGGCCTTTTTTTATTTTTAAAGTTGTAATATATAGAGTTATTTGATAAAAAAAAAAAACTATGGTCTGGGGATGGGGCTCAGCAGTAGAGTGCTTGCCTAGCCATGAACAAGACCATGGGTTTAATTCCCAGTGTGCAGCAAATAAACAAATAAATAAATATCAAGCTTCTTAATAAAAGGAACAAAAAGAAGCAGCTGTTAGATTTTGTCTGGTTGTAAAGGCAGAAATGTTGAGGTTATCAGCCATCTATATGTAAAGGCAAGGATATTATCAGCCATTCCCTTTTTTTTTTTTTTTAAAGACAGGGTCTCAGTATGTATCCCTGGCTGTCCTGGAACTTGCTATGTAGACCAGGCTGGTCTCAAACTCAGAGACCAGTCTACCTCTGCCTTTCCAGTGCTGACATCAAAGGTGTGGACCACCACACCCAGACATCATCCATCCTTATCAAACCTACACCTCACCCATGCTAGGCAAGCACTCCTCCACTATGCTGTATTCCCAACCCAAGTCATCAATGAACACAATTTCTGTTTCTAGAAATGAGTGGAAGCAGCAAAGCTGTCAGACTTTTCTCCTGGCTCCTCATCCGCCATCTGCACCCCCAACACACATAGTCACACACACAACACACGCACAGGCACACACACACACATGAGATCAGATGCTGCAACAACCGGCACGTGGCTAGGATTGCATTACCAAAAACCCCATTTGCATTTCAAGATGTTCTTGTTTAAATTCAGAATCTGTGGTCTAGATGTTCCTAGGAAGTTGTCATCATGGTCCCAGAGAAATGGAACTCAAATGTAAGAGAGACTACGACATGCTGGGAAAGACTCTACCAAGTACATTCTCAGCTTAGCAGGGTGGAGTCTCCGCACAATGCTGACTGGCAGCCAGGGATTTTCAACTGTGACTTGGTGTGGGAACACCAGACCTTGAGCAGAGACCCACTTCCCTTTCTGCCTGGGAGTAGGCAGCCTTAAGACAATGTTTACTAAAAACGTTTACTAAAAACAATACAATGCCCGGGGGCAATAAGTTCCTGGAAAAGGCCTGCCCACAGAAACCACCCTGACCTTGACCTTGTCCAAAGACTAACCGTCTCTTCTGCCATGCCCAGATCAGTTTTTGGTGTCAGAGCAGAACCAGCCAGGATAGAGGAGAGAGCAGAAGCTTCTCTGGAGGGAGCCTTTCTTAGGAAGTTTTCTTGAACCTTTTTGGGGCCTGCTTAAAGTTTTCTTTACATCGTTGAACAAGTCTCTGTGTTGTCAATCCCCGACACCCTCCGCACGGTCTCGGACACAGGCCGCGCAGCAGACTCGACAACTTGGGGTCACAGAGTCCACAGCATTTCCTGTGGCTGTAACAGAATACCTGAGATTGGTCACTCACAGGGAAAAGAGGTTTGTCTGGCTCACAGCTTTGGAGATGAAGGAGGCAATAACCTCCACCCAGCTTCGATGAGGGCTGCTCACAGCTTCAACTCTTGGCAGGAAGGAAAGGAGTGAGAGTTGTGTAGGAAAGAGAGAAAGGGGCTGAGCTTCCACGTGGTTTGTCTAGCCCCACAGGAAAAATACTGATGAAACGTAATTGGGTTTTTTAATTTTTACTCTTTTCTCTTTGGGGCCTACTACGGGACTCCCAAATAAATACAGAGTCTTATTCTGATGAATGCCCTCCCTTAGCTTGGCTTATTTCTTGCCAGCTTTTCTTAAATTATCCTGACTACCTTTTGTGTCTGGACTGTTACCATTCTCTATTCCATTCTTTACTTCTTATTCCTTTTCTGACTGTGAGGCTGGGTGGCTAGCCCCTGGTTTCTTCCTCCTCCTCCCCTCCTCCTTCCCTCCTCCTCCCCTCCTCCTCCCCTCCCCTCCTCCTCTCCTCTCTTCTTCCCCTCCTCTCTCTTCCCTCCCCCTCCCCCTTCTCCCTCCCCTCCCCCCTTTCTCCTTCTCCTTACCTTCTCCACTGGTCCCTTCTCCTCTCCTTATTCTCTCTGCCTGGCAGCCCTGCCTATCCTTTCTCCTACCTAGCTATTGGCTGTTCAGCTCTTTATTAGGCCAATCAGGTATTTTAGGCAGGCAAAGTAACACAGCTTTGCAAAGTTGAATAAATGCAACATGAAATAATGCAACACATCTTTGCTTCATTAAACAAATGTCCCACAGCATAAACAAATTAACACATCTTTAACTAATATTCCACCACAGTGGGATCTCCAGGGCTGCCCCTCTGTGACCTCACAAGCCCCTACTACTCCCACTGCTGCCCCTAAAGGTCTCCTCACTGCTCAACAACAGTACATCAGGGGTTAAATAATACAAGTTTTTTGTTTGTTTTGTTGTTGTAGTTTTATTGTTATTTGTTCAGTTTTTGCAGTACTGGGCATTGAACCTGGAGCTCCTGAGTGCTCAGCACTGTTTTCATGAGTTAGAACCACATTTGGACCTAGCTTGGAGCCTTGTCTTCATGACTGTGACAGACTGTGCCAGAGAGAGATGGCTCAGAGGTTAAGAGAGAGAGCATTGGCTCCTCTTGCAGAGGACCTGGGTTCAATTTGCAGCACCTGTGTTCAGCTCGCAACAACCCACCACACATCCAGTCTCAGGGGATCCAGCACTCTCTTCTGGCCTTCAAAAGACACTGAACACATGTGGCACTCCCACGCATGTGGAGGTGAAATATCCATGCACACAAAACAAACTTAAATGCACAGAAAAGCTTTCTGCCACATTGTAACGCAGGTTCCAGTGGCTCACCCTGCACCTTTGACGCCTCCTCTCAAAGGGAGACCCCTCACCCTCACTCCATCCATACCCCACCCTATGCACACCAAAATTGAATATGCATGCCTGCCTGCAGGAGTGCCACTTAACTGAAGCTCCTGTGGCATGTTGCCCAAATACAAATCTCTAGGGTCCACCTGCAACTGCACTGAACTGGATCAGAGGGAGTTGTTTGGGACTTTTTTTTAAGGTTTATTTTCTTTTAAATTGTTGGCAGTAGTCGTATGTACACATACATGCAGGAGCCCAGGAAATCCAAAGCCTTTGAAGGCCCTGGAGTTGGGGGTTACAGGAGTTACGAGCTGTCTAACAAGGGTGCTTACACCAATCGCGGGTCCCCTACAGGGGCAGTGTGCGCTTTCTTTAGTCCCTGAAGAATTTTGAGGGGGTTCAGAAGGGCTTTTCTGCTTCAGAACCTGGGGGGGGGGTCTGTGGTCCTCAGATTTCTAAATCTCCCAGGAAACATTTGAAGGATGCCACCCCCCAGGTTGTCTTCCCCCTGGGGTAATCTGGAGTGAGGCCAGGCACCAGCAGTTTGGCTCCCCTTGTAATTCTGAGGACTCATTGTTGAAAAACATAGCTTCAGGCTCTGCCATTTACATTAACCTCAAACCTGCACCTCCATGCAGTCAGTCCTTTTAGTGTTCTATCATTTCACCTAGTGCACCTAGTGGGCTTCAAGAATGTTACCTGGGCCAGGCGGTGGTGGCGCACGCCTTTAATCCCAGCACTCAGGAGGCAGAGGCAGGCGGATCGCTGTGAGTTCGAGGCCGGGCTGGACCGACAGCCTCCAAAACAATACAGAGAAACCCTGTCTCATAAAAACCAAAAAAAAAAGAACATTACCTGGGAGTCTGGGTCCAAATATCCAGATAGTTTTATAAGCAGACAGTTGCCTGAATTTGGGGGAGAGGGCGGAATGAGTCTGCCTTAGGTTTAACTTTCAATTCAGTGTCGTTTACTCCATTTCCTTCTTGCTGAGTAAGTAACTTTGGGGCCTCTACTGCTGGGCAGCTATGCTTGTTTAATTCCTGTATTCAAGCCATCTCTGTTAAACTCAGGATCATGATCTGCTTGAGACTCTTCTGGCTCTCTCTCTCTCTCTCTCTCTCTCTCTCTCTCTCTCTCTCTCTCTCTCTCTCTCTCTCTGTGTGTGTGTGTGTGTGTGTGTGTGTGTTATACAAATGTCTCTCATACAGAGCACCAGGGACTGGAGGTGAGCCAAGGGGCAGATACTAATAAGACATTTGATTAAGATCAAGCCCTGCCCACTAATTTGAAGGGCGTGTTAACAGAGAGTGCCAGGTCCCTAAAAACACGTAGGGGCCAGCCTCGGGGTGGTGTGGCAAGTGCAGGAACCGGCTCTGAAGGGAAAGAAGCTGGATGAATGCTAAGGGAGCTCCTACGTCTGCAGAAGCAGCTCTGGGCTCGAGGAAGGCAGGCACCCCTTGGCTTCCCTGGGGACCTTCTACGACTCCACATGGGAAACCGCGAGGGAAAGGAATTAGAAAAATGACTGTAATGAACTCGTTCACAAGGTCTTATAAATAAGACAGCGTTGCCTGTATATGGCAGCTGATGGTGACTCTGTCCCCCGGCAGGGAGGGTGTGCCCAAATCCGGGCCTTCGTTGATCTTTCCGCATCCAATGACGCCCAGCGCTCAGCGTGTGAGTAGCTGGTAAGGATATAAACGGAAGCACTTTCTCCCAGAACGTATTTGGAGTCCGACGAGAAGCAAGGGAGGGTTAGGTGGATCACAGGGGGAGAAAAAGTACTGAGGCCAGAGGGACCCAGCACCTAGAAGAGACGAAGTGCTTTAAGACAGGGGAGATGATGGCAATATCAAATCCAGGTTGCATCAGGGTCCTCCATAATGTGGGGACTTGGGGAAATGGCCGCAACCAGAGTGCTTGCCATCCAAGCATGAGGACTTAGTCTGGATCCCAGAACTCACACGAAAAGCTGCTGTAATCCCAGTGCTGGGAGACTAACGCAGCAAGATCCTAAGGGCTCACGGGCCAGCCAGTCTAGCCAGACAGTGAACATCAGATTCACTGAGACACAAGTCGTGTTTTATGCGTGTGTTTCATTCATCCTTAAACTAACTGTGATGGGATAAAGAGGTGACTCAGTGGTTCAGAGCCCTGACCGATCTTGCAGAAGATCTGGGTTCAGTTCCAAGCACCCACACCACGGCTCACAACCATCTTAACTCCAGTTCTAGGAGATCTGATGCCCTCTTCTGACCTCCACAGGCACTGCACACGTGTACATGGACTTACATACAGACAATCATACATGTAAAAAAAATCGTATTTTTAAAAAAATCACTGTGACATCACCTCTAGTTTACCGATGGAGAACTCAGAGGGGCTAAGTGGCTTGGTAAAGACCATTCTGATAAGAATTAAAACTCAGGACCACCTGTTGATGATACTCACAGTTTTTACTGTCATTCCAGCCATGAGTGAACACTCTGACATTTTAGTTCTGTCATTTCTTTCTGAGGAAAAGAAAGAAAAAGAATAATTAGGACAATTTTGAGAGAAAACTTTGGGGTGTTTAAAGCCTAGAGAAAATGCAGGAAAGAATTCGGATGCAGGAACCAGGGTCTTGTTGGTGAGTGGGGATATTATTACTCAAGCTTCTCTCTTGGGCAGAAGGCAAATTCCTCCGAGTGCTCAGAGCAGCCAGCAGGATGTCTCTTCCCCATGGGCTTGCTCAACCTTCACAACAGACCCCCAAGACAGAGTTTCCTCACAGGAGGTTCACGGAGACCATCACTGGCTGGAACCTCCTCTCCACACGTGAGTGGCAGTCAGCTTCACCAGGTGTCATAAAAGAGCAAACAGGTGCTTTTCCATAACATTTATCAAAGACCATTCATTGCCCCCAACACACACACACACACACACACACACACACACACACACACACACACACACACGCCATTTTTAAGTCAGGATCTCACTGCGTAGCCCTGTCTGGTCTGGAACTCACAGGCCTGCCTCAGCTTCCCAAATCTGGGCTTAAAAATGTATTCCACAGGAAGGCCTCACCCTCCCTGGGGAGCAGGAGGGGGATGGGATAGGATGGGGTGGGAGGGTGGGAGGGAGAGGGAACTGGGAGTAATATGTAAAGTAATATTGTTTCTAATTTAAATGAAATTTATAAAAAAGTGTATTCCACCACACCTGACTCCACCTCTATTTTTTTTTTTTGACAGTCTTTATCTGAACCGGAAGCTCCAAGTCTTCCACGTTGGCTGGCCTGGGAGCTTAGGGGAGTCCTCCTGACTTTACCTCCCCAGAGGTAGGTGACAGGTCTTACCACCACATCCATTCCTACCTGGGTTCTGAGGATCTGAACTCAGATCTTCAGACTTGCACAACAGGCATTTACTGAGCCGTCTCCCCAGCCCTGTCCTCCTCCTCTTTTTGTTATTGCCACTGTTTGGATTAAGATGGGGAATTCTGTGCATGGATTAAGATGGGGAATTCTGTGCATGGATCAGAAGGCCAAATCCTGCTCCCTCTTGCCGACCGGACGACCTCACCTTTGAACTTTCTGCCATCATCACCCCCTTTTGTGAAAGTTCATGCCACGCACTCAGCAAGTGCTGAGATATCTCTCCGGTGAAACACACTTTGGGCTCAGCGTTTCCAACCACCGGACAAATCCATTCCCTTTCTCTGGCATCTTCTCCCGCATCAACGCACTTCTACAGAACACACAGACCTGATCCAACCCATACTATACAACACAGTGATGCCTGGTGAGACTATCGTTCCCTGAAAGGAAAACCTGTTCGAAGAAGACACCGCTTTCCAATTAGTACCATGCTGGAATATGGGCTTAAATGTTGCCATAAATTCTGGTTTTTCAAGTCAAGTTGTAAATATGGATTTTTATATAAGAATCTCAGCACATTTGAATGTGTGCTACTGGTTCGCATTTTCTTCAAAGAATACCGAACAGACCAAAAATGCAGATACATATAAAATGCATACCAGGCACTGGGGACTTGGTTCAGTGGGTAAGAAACCCTGCTGTGCAAGCATGAGGAACTGAGCTCGAATCCCCAGCATCCATGTAGAAGTCAGGCACAGCTATGCACACCTGTAACCACATTACTGGTGCAGGGGATGGAGACAGGAGAATCTCTGGGGCTCTGGAATGTCCAGGTTCAGTGAGAGACCCTACTAA